TGTTTAATTGACTATGCAAAAGCATTAAATTGTGTGGATCATCATAAATTATAGATAACATTGAGAAGAATAGGAATTCCAGAATACTTGATTGTACTCAGGAGGAACTTGTACATAGATCAGGAGGCTGTCATTCAAACAGAACAAGGGGATACTGTATGGTTTAAAATCAAGAAGGGAGTGTGTCAGGGTTATATCCTTTCATCATAGTTATTCTATCTGTACATTGATCAAATAATCTAAGAAGCTGGATTATATGAAGAAGAACATGGCCTTAGTGTTGGAGGAAGATTCATTAACAATCTGTGATACTCGGACGACACAACTTTGCTTATTGAAAATGAGGATGACTTGAAGCACTTACTGATGAAGATTGAAGACTACAGTCTGCAGTATGGATTATACCTCCATATAAAGAAAAGAAAAATCCTCACAACTGGACCAGTAGGTAGCATTACAATAAATGGAGAAAAGATTGAAGTTGTCAAGGACTTCATATTACTTGGGTCTATAATCAACACCAATGGAAGCAGCAGTCAAGACATCAGATGATGTATCACATTCGGCAAATCTGCTGCAAAAGACTTCTTTCAAGTGCTGAAGAGCAAAGATGTCTCTTTGAAGACTAAGGTGTGCCTAACCCAAGCCATGGTATTTTCAGTTGCTTCATATGCATGTGAGAACTGGACAATGAACAAGGAAGAACAAGAAGTGTTGATGCTTTTGAGATGTGGTATTGGTGAAGAATGCTGAGAGTACCATGGACTGCTAAAAGAACTAACAAATCTATCTTGGAAGAAGTGCAGCTGGAATGCTCCTTGGAAGCAAGAATGGCCAAACTTCATCTCACCTACTTTGGTCATATTGTCAAAGGAACCATTCCTTGGAGAAGGATAGCATGCTTGTTGAAGTGGAGGGTCAACAAAAAAAGGGAAGGTCCCAACAAGATGGATTCACACAGTGGTTGCAACAATGGGCTCAGGTATAGCAAGGATCGTGAGTACGGCACAGGATTGGGAGTGTTTCATTCTGTTGTACATAAGGTTGCTATGAATCGGAGACAACTCCATGGCACCACACAACAACAACAAAGCTTTATGTATGATATTGAAGATAAATGTCTACTTAGAAAACAATTCCCTGATGTTTCCTGCTATCAGAGGAAATAGTTAAGTTTGGTAGACACCGGGTTTGAACTATCTAAGCTTTCATTTTCTTACTCTACAAATGTAATACAATTTTGAGTACCTGGATTACGACAAGTGAGAAATTAATTTAATCTCTAGCCCATACATAATCCCCAGACAAGTAGTATCACCATCACCTAGGAACTTGTTAGGACTGCAAATTCTCAGGCCCCACCCAGATATACTAAATCGGAAACTCTGGGGGTTTGCCCAACAATCTGTTGTAAGAAGTCCTCCAGGTAATTGTGATACACAGTTAAGTAGGACCAAACCAAACCCACTGCCATCGAGTTGATTCTGAGTCACAGTGACCCTATAGGACAGAAAAGAACTGCCCACATAGGGTTTCCAAGGCTGTACATCTTTACAAAAGCAGATTGTCTCATCGTTCTCCAGCAGAGCAGCTGGTGAGTTGGAACCATCAATTTTTGGGTTAGCAGGCCAGTGCTTTAACAACTAGTTAACCAAAACTCCTAGTTTAACCAAAACTCCTTTAGTAAAGTATGAGGCCTGCTGAAAATATAGCCAATTCTCTTTAGTCAGTCTTCTCATGCTCAGTTTGGGGGCATTTTTTTTTTTAATTTTTATTGTGATTTGGGTGAAAGTTTACAGAGCAAATTCATTTTCCATACAGCAGTTCACATACACTTTGTCTCATGGCATTGACTGTAATTTTCCACAATGCAACAGCTCCCTTCCCACTTCCTTCCCATAGTTATCTTTTCCCTGTGTCCTTCCCTCCCATGCACTCCTGCCTCTCAAGCTGTCTCCCTGTGCATACAGAGTTGGGGACATTGTTTTTGACCTACCTCCTTCTCCTCCCATACTTGTCTCTTCCATCCATGCATACATTTATTTATTCATTTACATATCTGTGTTCAGAGTATTTAAAAGGTTAAGAATAAAAAGTTTAAGTACAGCACAACTTTCTGACTATAGACTCAATAGAACTAAAATCCTGAAACTTGAGTTTAGTTGCAGGAATATCTTTCCCCAGCAATTGTCATCTTTCATATATTCTCAACAATCATGGGAAGGCAAAATTCACTTCAAAAATTTCAAAATCATCATTTGTAAAAACAGCCCTTTGCCAGGTTTTCATGAAAAATTAATTTCAAATACAGAAAAGGCATTGTCTTTTAGTATCCTTCAATAACTCTGTCTAGCAACAGAGATATAAAAATGAGTAAGATAAAGCTGCAGCCCATAGAGAGCTGCTCATCAGGCATATAAACAACTTCCTACAATTCCCTTGAATGCAGTGTGGTAAGAGTCCTTTGGACTAATGGATCACATGAACTTCAGCTTCAATGACCCTGACACCAGAAGAACTCGATGGTACATTAGAAGGTCTTGGTAGAGTGGGAGAACAATGTGGAACAAAACTCAAAATCATAAAAAAAAAAAAAAAAAAAAAAGAGGTGTACTGGTCAGATAGAGACTGGTGGTACCCCTAGGACTTTGGACCTTGGTCATCCTTTGGACCTGCAACTGAGCTCACTCCTGTGGCTCAATTTTCAGCCAGAGAATGGACAGGTCTACAAGGTGAAAGGTAACACTAGGAAGGTGAGCACTTCTTAGAACAATCAACCATTGGAGAGCAAAGGGGCAGCATTTGCCCAGGGAGGAGTTCAGAAGGCAGGAAAGGTTAAGGAGAGGAGGAGGAATGGAAATGAGAAATACAGGGAGAAAGTGGCAGTAGTGATGTTGCATTGAAGGGATTGCAATCAATGTGTGTGAATTGTGTGGAAAACTGATTTGCTCTGTAAACTTTCACCCAAATCACAATAAAAACTTAAAAAACAAAACAGTGAAGTGTGCAGTAGAGACACTCATTATTGGGGTACAGTCTTAGAAAAGTCATACAGTTCTGAAAGATAAATAGGATTTGATGGAAAGAAAAAGGGACAGGTGAAGGAGGGGGCTCAGGCAGAAAGAACAAAAGGAATAAAAGCTATGAAGATTGGGCAGTCAGACCCCAGGTGAGGAGGGATGGGATGGGTGGCTGGGGCGCCGGTTCCGGGCTTCTGAGAATTCAGGCAAGAGACTTTGAAGGAATTCAGTTTGCAAAATGCACACACTGTCTCTTGCCGTAGCCATTGCACGCAGACTTTCAAAGCAGGGACAGTACCACTGAACTTCCAGAGAGGATCCCATTCATTAATTCTTCCAATATTGACTGAGCGCCCGCGATGCGCCTGGCGCTGCCGGGGACCGGCGCAATCCGCCCCCCCCCCCCTTCCAGGACTTGGACGTGTCACAAGAGGCGGGTCCCTCGCACCCAGGCACCGGAGCCGGGGCCCCGCCGCTGCCCCACCGCTCCCAACCTGCAGCCCCTGGCTCCTGGGAGTCTCCCAGCAGCTACTCACCTGGTTCCTGGGTGAAGGCGGGGGTGCGACGCGAGGGTAGGACCGGGCTCTGGTCTGGCTGGAGGCGCTGCCAACGCGGATGCTGGCGGTTCCGAGCCGTTGCCGCCGAACCCGCGGGCGTTCCGGGCGGGCGGGCTGCAGGGGCAGCGGAGGTGAGGGAGCGGGGAGAGAGATAGCTGGATTGCCGGGCCGGAGCTCGAGGGGATGACTTCCCTTGTGTGGCGAAGGCCCCTACTCGCTTCGAGGTTTTATAGTCTTGTCTGGAGGCCTACTTAGTGCCAGGTCTCCTGATCTGCACCTCACATAAATTCTCTTAAGTGAATTACCGTTAGGTCATAAGAGAGACATGAGAGGAAACTGAGACTGGGAGAGTCTGGACCCATAGGTTCTCTGCCCACAAACTTCTATATTTCCACTGGACAACTGCCTCCTACCCACTATTAGGTAGGAATGTAGGGCAGGAATTACGTTTTGCAGAAGCTAACAACACAAAGGTCTAAACCAAAAACCAAACTCACTGCAATCCAGTGATGGCATCGAGTGGGTGCGACCCATGGAGACCCGCATTGGGTTTCCAAGGCTGTAAATCTTCACAGAATTAGATCGCCCTGTCGTCCTCCGGTGGAGCGGCTGGTGGGTTTGAACCGCTGACCTTCTGATTAGCAGCCAAATGCCTTAACTACTAACGTTGCCTAACAGGACACCGCAGGAAGGCTCCCTGCCCTGTTCTCTTTCTTACTCTGAGAGGCAAAAATCTTCACTAGAAGGATCTTCAGGGCAGGAATCAGTTTCAAATTTTCAAAGTAATGGTTTTTAAGATGCCTCTGAAAGGGAGATATCTAAGAGTTTCTTAAATCAGAACCACCTGATGTGTACACTAAAAATGCACTTTCTTGGTGTGCACCATGGATTTACCTAATTAGACTCTCGTGGGTTCTGGGAATCTGCATTTAAAAACAAACTCCTAGTTAATAAAAGTTTGAGAATTACTAGGAGAGTGTGGCTGGTAAAATCTCAGCTTTAATCCAAGGCTAATATTTGCCTTTGAGATAGATTTCGTCAGAATCCCAAAGAGTAAGCCATATGCCCTTGAGCAGATGGGAATGTAACAGCTTTCTGGCCGGAACCTTTCTCTTTCTTTATGCAAGTTATCTCTTGGAAATTGAAGGTTCCACTGAGCAGATGTACTGCTGGTGGTGCCTACCCAGAGTTCAAAATTCATGGGCCCTTTCCCCATGCCCAGTTTGCCACCGCCACTGTCGCTTTCTAGCAGAGCCAGGCATTCCCCGCCCTCACCACGGTGGGGCGCACAAGGCACATATTGTCCGCTGGTTCCCTGCTTCCAGAGTGAACCTTCGCGCCCTTAAAAAGATCAGTCCTTGGGTGTTCCTTCCTCCGGCCGCCAGCTGTTGTTGTCTTCTCGCGAGAACTGCTCCTCCCGTCCTCTCCCGTCACGAAACCCCTCCCGCAAGGAGGTTCCATATTGGGTAAGATCTCGGCTCGTTGAGAGTCCCGGGATCTGTTCTCGCGAGAGTACTGCGGGAGGCTCCAGCTCGCTGGCTCTGAAGCCGTGACCACTGGAGTCTCAGCGGGCGCTGCAGCTGGAGTCGGGCGGAGCAGACCAGAGTCGGCCTGGTCCGGGAGCGTGTGCAGCGAAACTGCGGCGGGCGCAGCCCTGAACCCGGTAGCGCGCCCTTGCCCTTAGCCAGCCTCGCCCCTGTCACTGAGGCACATCTAGCTGCTGCAGCTGACAGGGGCCGCGCGCGCGCGGGAGTCCGCGGGGCCGCAGCAGCCGCACCTGTGCGGGCGGCCAGAGCGGGGTCCCGGCCAGGCTCGGCGGGCAGCGAGAGTCCGGGAGCGGGTGCAGGCGCAGGCGGGGGTCACGCAGGGCCACCTCCTCCCCTGCGGCCGCCGCTGGAAGATGTCTCAGGAGAGGCCCACGTTCTACCGGCAGGAGCTGAACAAGACAGTCTGGGAGGTGCCTGAGCGCTATCAGAACCTGTCCCCAGTGGGCTCCGGCGCCTATGGCTCGGTGTGGTGAGTGTCGCTGGGCCAGAGGCCAAGTGGGCAGGGGTGGCCCCTTAGTCCCGAAAGCCAGGCCTGCCCCCTCGGCTCATTGATGCGCCAAGTGGCAGGAATTTTCCTCGGGGGACGGCATCTCTGCCCCTTCAAACTCTTTCTTGCACCCTTTCACCCCCATTTGCACGTCAAGTGGTCAGTCGTGTGCTGGACGCAGTTCCACGGTGGGCTGAGGGCGGGGGGGTACTGGAGGAAATCGGCCCTGGCTCGCATTTTGCTCGAGGGACAGGGAAGCCTTTTCACAAGGCTGCGGTTTAGAGGACAGGGACGACGGTGCCTTCTGCTTGTGGATCTTCGTGCTGGCGTCGAACAGAAGGGTCCTCTTCCGAGGTACGCCCACCTTGGGTCTCTGGAGCTGGCCTTTTGAGCCGACAAGCCCTGGAGCTACCGGGAGAAGCAGAAGGGCAGAGCCCGACTGGTAGACTGCGATCGTCTGAACAAAATTAACAAGGAAGGGAGCTCTCCCCGGGCTTTTTTTTTTTTTTTTTGCAAAGCCCTGTTGAAGACTGGTTTTGAGAAGCGTTCTTTTTGAATTAGCAGCGACCTATAGAGCTTAAAATACCGACTTTATCTCGGTGAACACTGCCAGCTTGAAGTGGTGTGTTTCCGATTCTGTAGAAGGCGTATTTCCTTTTCGCGGAGGGGGAGCTGGTGATAGTGCCTGCAAGAACACTGTCGTTTGAGAAACTGGCCGCCTCTCTGATTAGTCACATTCCTCTAGTCATTTAAGTATTGTTTGGCAAAAACAGCTTTCTCATTTGGAACAAGTGATAGTCGGGACCTTTGGATGCTGTCAAGATCAAAAAGTTAACCATGCTGAGAATTGTGATAATTCTTACAATAGGAATTTAAAAGCCCCTTAAAGAGTGTTTGCCGGAAACTTACCTCCATTTATGACCTGAGGTGCAGGATGGTTTTCATAGCATATAGCAAAAGTAGGCAGAGACACTTTTCAAGCTTTAATTTACACTGTGAATGTGTTTTAAATTGGTACCATACTATTTCCGGAGTTGAAATAGTTCACTGATTTCTCTCTTTTCCAAGGTTTTTTACACATTATTTTTGACTTGATATTTTCTGGGTGCTCCTAATCTGAAACTAAATATCAGATTAAATTATTAGCATTTCCTGTGTTTTAGTAATTCATGTGCATTTATCATTTGAAAAAGGGCCCGTAAAATTAGTTTTTTGTTTAGGAACATATTACAGTTTCTGAATGTGTTAATCTTTAAGTGTAATTCCTGTGTTCCTTAAAGTCACATCATGAATTTCCTGTTTGGTAGAATCTTCTGGGTAATTGAGATTGTGCAATTGTGTCCTGCAACAGATCATATTGCATTTTCTAGTTCAAGCTGCTTGAGTTATGCTGCAGATGGCACCATGTTTGACATCTTTCTCTCATTTTTACAGTATGACAGTTTATATTTTAACAGAATTTGCAGCATTTTGCATTCGCTATATACTATTTCTTGATTTGCTGATTTTCAAAGCTACATTTGGATCATTGCTCCTTTTGTAGTTCATTAATTTACCTTCATTTTTGAATTGACACATTTATTTTTGTAGTATTAGGTTTTTGTTTCCTTTTAAGCTTTATTGGAGTGATACCTCAGATTAACTCAGCTACAGGGAGCTCTGGTGGCATAGTGCCTAAAACATTTGACTGTTAACCAGAAGGCTAGCGGTTCAAACCCACCAACCATTCCTCGGAAGGAAGATTGGAAGATCTACTTCCATAGAGATACCGCCTTGGAAACCCAAGGAGGGGCCGCTATGAGTTGGTCAGACTCGATGGCATGTGTTTGGTTTTTTGGTTTACAGGGAATTTAGGTGAACTTGAAAAAAATTACTTGGAAGACTTCTCTACAATTGCAGTGAATAGCTCTGCACTAGACCAGCGATCGGGAGCTCTGGTAGCATAGTGGCTAAAGCACTTGACTGCTAACCAGAAGGCTGGCGGTTCAAACCCACCAGCCACTCCTCGGAAGGAAGGTTGGGCAATCCTACTTCCATAGTGATACTGCCTCGGAAACCCAAGGAGGGGTCACTATGAGTTGGGGCCGACTCGACAACAACAACAGACCAGCGATCAAGATTTATAATAAACTGTCGCTAAGAAACTCTACATTTCTTAGAGCTATACTTTCCTGGCTTATAGACATTTCTGGCTTATCTGACATTTGGAAGTAATTTTGTTAAACAGATTTCTTTTTATAAATAGGTAATCTGTTTCACATTTTATAAATTTGTGTTTAGTGAAAAGTGCTCCTCCCTTTCTTTCTTGTTCCCCAGCCACCTTCTTCCCTGCTGCAGAATGCAGAAACAACCCCTGTTAAGTTTCTTGTGTGCCTTTTTAGGGAGGCTGAGTTTTTTTGTTTGTTTTTGTTTTTATGTAGTAGTTCTACTAAATATCTTGGGGGCGGGGGGGGGGGAGGATAAGACACAGCCAGAGTCCCTGAGTGGTACAAACAGGTAATGTACTTGGCACTGTTATCTGAGATGTTCGAAGTTCATTACCCAGAGATGCCTCAGAAGAAAGGCCTGGTGATCGCCTTTAGAAAAATTTAGCCATTTAAAACCCTGTGTGGAGCACAGTTCTATTTTGACATGGGATTGTCATGAGTCGGAGTCTACTGGAAGGCAACTGGTGTTTGTATGTGAGAGAGGAAGAGAAGATGCAATATTCTTCCACTGTGGTGGCGGAAGATACAACTGAAATTACATGAAAATTAACTATAAACAAATATAAACTGATTTGGTAATGAAAATACTAGAACTTAGGTTTACAAATAAGTGTTATCTCAGAGTAGCTATTTGAAGTTATTCTTTCACTTACCAAGTTTTGAGGTGTAACAGAAAACATTTTTTTAGAATGTCTTGTAGAATTTACTTTGATGCCTTTATAAGTTTTCTTCATCTTTATTTTTTGAGAGCAGATTTTATTTTAGGGATTAGCTAAAAGTCAAATTGAATCCAAATGATTTGAAAATTTGGCTTCAAGTGTCATGAAAAAGATTAGGAAGTCAGTTTGGTGATACTGTTTTAGATCAAATATGAAGGAGTTGCAGCTATAAGGTAATGACAATTCTGGTGGTTTCTAGGTTTGGACCTGAAGTCTGTTCCAATAAAAGAGTATCTGTACAGCATCATTGAAAAACTTACTTTGTTTCCTAATTTGATTACTCTAAGGAGGTGTGTTCACTTTGATGAGTAACTTTTTTTTTCTTTAAGCTTGTTTTCATTATTTTAATTTGTAGAATGTAGCGAAAAGCAAATACCCTGTGTGACAGCCAACTATGAATCAAAGATTAAGGAATCAGACTAAAACACTTGATAGGGTTTTACAAATTTATCTTTCCTTGTTTAAGATGAAAGGGAACTAAACTAAACCTTGCAGTTTTAAGGAACTTTGTAAATTGTCTGTGAGGGGAAATGAAGCAAAATTGTTTAAGAATACGTTGTTGCAAAGCATTGATTTTGTGGTTTTGGGACAGAAGGGGAGAATCTTTGTGGTGAGTTTAAGGAAATATAAACAGGAACTTAAATGCCTTTCCTCTGGGGTATGTTTTTTCCAGTCTCTTACTGTTGGTTATGGGAGGGGATAGGATGATAAGAGTTGAGACCTACTGTGAGATCACATTCAATCATTTATCCAGCAGTATTTATTGAACACCAGCTATGAACCAGTTAGCAGCCTAGGTTCTTGAGATAGAGTGCTGAAGAAGGCAGCACAAGACAATCTAACTTTATAACCTAGGTATAATAAAACCTTCAGTAAAGGAATGGCAAAATATACTGAGAAGTCTAAAATGCTTTGTGGAACAGGATTATGTATAATATTATAAATATAATAAAAATAAGTGAAGCTACATTTTGTGTTTTTAAAAAATGTTTAGTTTCTTGGCCATTCACGTTTTAAATCTTTCTTGTGGAATAGGCCTGGGTACAAGTAAAATATATCGTTTTTGGGTGTGTAAAGATGACATTCTTGACTCCTGATCAATGAAGTTGTGCCCTTCACTTTTCTATTGCTGATAGACAGTAGGTGCATGTTGCTGTTTCTTCTTATTCCCTTTTCTTTGTCACTAAAAGCAAGGTGGTTGAATACCCTCAGTGCTGGTAACAAAGATTTAAACATAATTAATAGCAAATATTTGTATTATTGAGGTATAAGTTAAGAGTAAGTTCAGTCCACTTGGCTATAGTCATATTTTATTTATCTAATTGTGTTTTTCCACTTATACTTTTCCACTCACTCTTATTTTAAAATAAGGGTATTCTGGACCTCTGGCTTTCCAATTCTGCTGGAGTAATTTCTTGATACTGAGTAATAGTCTGCTTTTGATCTCCATCTAGCTCAGTCTCAAAGATGATCTATATTGATTTTGCCCTTCATAGACAACATTGCAGATAGAGGTGAACCCCTGAGGCTTAGAATTCAAAGCTGGAAGAATTCTTTGTGTTTGGGAAATTAATGTTAGAGTTCCTAGGCTCAGATCATAGAGTATTTGCTAAGTTAGATCACTCTCACTTTAGCAGTAAATTACATTTTCATAAGATTTTACAGTTTACAAACTCTGTTACTGAAAACATTATCATTTAGTCCTCACTAGTTCTATGGAGGCTGATGTTATTAACGCACTTTCATAGATGAGGAACTAAAAGAATGGTATACTGGTCAGTGCTACTTTGGTTTTAGTTCTGGGGTTTCAACATTTTAGCAATCTCTTTTCCTGTGTTTCTGGGTTGCTGAAGTTGTGTTGTGTCACCTTTGCTTGTGTAGTCCGCTTCCTCCATTCCTCCTTTTGTGAAGAAAGTGGTTGCTGAGTCACTTGTGATGGAGCTGTGAAGGTCCAGACTAGTCCCACCAGTACATAGCTAATCTGAGGGGTAGTGACTTAACCCATTAAAGTCTCTTCCTCAGAATTGATAAACCAAAAAATGAAGTCATTGGCCAT